AATGTGATGTACGTCTTGCTCACAAACTTTTAGACAATTCTGGCAAGAAGCTTATAATTATGTGTCAGAATATTCGTAGCATCGGGCATAACCTACCACAAGTTTAAATAATCTTGGCTTGTTTGAAGCTTGATGTTAATATTATTGTTTTAACAGAGTGTTGGCTCGGAGAAATTAATCATTTACCGACGCTAAATGATTATACCACATATGGTACTAAAAATAATAAGTCACAAAATGAAGGGGTTATGGTTTATATAAAAAATGACATTATGGTAACTGTAGTTGAACCCCCCGCTTTTGAAAGCAACTGTCTGATTATTAAGATCGGAAACGAAACTGCAATTATTGCTATTTATCGTCCACCTTCATATCGTTCATATGAAAACTTTTTGCAGGCTATTAATGACATACTAGAACCGTTGAATAAATTCACTAATATTGTAGTTACGGGTGACATGAACATAAATATAAGCACTACTACTTCGAACCCCTAATATGATGAATATCTCGATCTAATGGCTTATCACGGATTACTGTCAACACATTCACTGCCTACGAGATTAAACTCATGCCTGGATCACGTATTTTTAAAATCTCGTTTAAAAGCAATAACTTTAATAATTTCTTCTACTGTAACGGATCACTATACAGTTCTATTTTGTCTCGAAAACCATATAACTCCTCTAAGTGAATCAAAACTCTACAAATTTATTAACTATGAAAAAGTTGCATTTGAATTGAATTTGGAAATTCTCAATGCTATATTAAATTGTACTGATGTTAATATCGCTACAAATATGCTTGTAAAGGAGCTACAAAGAGCTATAGACGTACATACCACAATGAAGACCGTCCCCGCTCGTAAGAGAATAAAAGTTCCCTGGCTTACTCAAGGGCTACTAAGGTGCATTAGACATAGAGACAAACTACATCGTGATGTCATAAGTCATCCTGATAACATAAAACTTACGATTACTTATAAACGCTATAGAAATTTTTGTAACGAATTATTAAAAAAAGGTAGGGCAGATTTTGATAACAATGAATTATATAAAGCTGGAAATGATAATTAAATAAAGTGGAAAATCGTTAAAAATATAGCTAAATTAAATAGTAATGTTACATCTTTAAATACTAATCTTCTTAGCCTAAAAGCCAGTCCAGTAGAATCAATTAACTATATTAATAATTATTTTGCCAATATTGGAAAGAAACTGGCAGACGAAATTTCAATAAATTACGTAAGGAATAAGTCAACAACAGCGGATACGAATTTAATAAATCAGTCTCAATCTTTGGGCTTAAGACCCACCGATCCACTTGAAGTCGAGTGGTTACTGAGTAATCTTAAACATAATTCTGCACCAGGCTACGATGGAATTTCCAATCAGGTGCTTAAATCTACTAAGCACCTGATAATTCCCTCTATTGTGCACATTTGTAACCTTAGTCTTGAATCAGGTGTGTTTCCTGATCAGTTCAAAGTTGTTTTGATAAGTCCTATACATAAAGGCGGAGACGGAGACAGTATCAGTAACAAAAACAAAACGCGAGGCGTATCATAGTATTTCACCAACGTAATAACCCTCACACTATTCTAAGTTTATAGGTGGGCAGTAACAGGGACTTTATCCCACTTCTGATGTCGGAGATTTACAACAGAGGATTCCAATTTTGATCTTGGAAATACATCAGGATAGCGTTAACTGTTAAAAATAATAAAAGTGTAAGAGCGGATGTTCAACTTGCTCTCTTGCTTACGCTGTTTAATCATTATCAGTAATAAGACAACGTAACGCACTATACATTCAGTATAGTGAAATTACAGTTCGACCACACCGTAACACGTCTCTGCCACAATCACACACCAGTGTAACGTGAGGTACGTAATTACATGATAACATCATAATATGTAAACCAACAGCAACACTACTTATCTCAATGTAACACAGGGCAGCCTCTCAGCAACACTAATCCTCCTTGCCTGCACTAGAAGAATTACAATAACGAACAAAACCACGACACTATCTTAGCACTAGTAGAATGACCACACTCCTTGAATGACTTGAGCGAACTCTCGCGCACGGGACCTACGGTGAACTTTATACTACAGACACAAGAGGGGGTTTCTCGATATACCCTCCATTCTACCTCGATCCAACCGGGTATTTTATAGTCGCTCCGACATATATATATATAATTTTTTTATTCAATATAAATTACATGGAAGAATACAGATGGGTCGTCACCACTGAAGATTACGATGGAATACCATACAGCTTGTAATTATATTGGAACCCTGTACGTTTTATACCGGTATAAGAATGTAGGTACCTGTACACATTACTGTTTGGCGGCACAAAAAGGTGAGCAAATATTACCTACTACATCTACTTATAGAGAAGACTCCTAGGAAGAAATAAAATCGCCTAGTAATATTATCTACTATTTATATGAAAATTATTTTTACTTTATAACCTAAGTGAAGCGATGATCTGCCTCTGGCAGTTACTGGATACGTGAAGCTGAAGGCCGTGCCGTTCACCATTATCAATGAATTAATATATTTCAAGTCTTTTCTCATTTAAAAATTATGAAAAAAAAATTAATAATAAATTTCTTAAGCAAATTAAAGTTAAGTTAAAAAGTAGAGTCAAACTTGGTAATTAATAAAACTAATAAAAATATTTAATCAATTCTTAAGGAAAACAAAATCAAGCGTCGCTTTTTTCCAATTTCACAAAAAAATTAATAAAGGTTCGGTCGATTATTGCCTGCCGGTTAAATAACGCGGTCCACCTTAAAAATACTTTGAAGATAAAAGTCCATAAAGAAATGTATTGTTACTCTTGAAAGAATGCCTCTTTGTTCAAGTTTATATATAAGTATTCCTTTTCTTCCTTATCATCAGTTCAAGTAAGTCCAGTGGAAATGAGCCTCTCCATTGTACGGAGGATTGACCACGCTCGCACCTTTGACGTTTCTCTCCGTCGCTGGCTCGGGAATTTTGCATTAGATATATACGATATAGTTACACTGCCATTCGGAGTGCTTGAGATTAACTGGCCCTTTTCACTTCGTTTATAAATGTAAGATTGGGCGTTATAGCTTCATTAACTAACTCGTCGATGATAATATGGTTGGTTGGATTTATTTAAAAATTTATATTTAGTTGTATTTCATGAATGTGCTTCTATCATAAAATACATATCTGTGTTCATTATACCATCATCATTACAGCCCTTCATAAGTCCACTGCTGAACATAGGCCTCCCCCAAGGAATGCCACAAAGCACGGTCCTGAGCCACCTGTATCCATCGACTTCCTGCATGTCTTACCAGGTGGTCACTCTATCTTGTGGGGGGTTGCCCTACGCTTCGCCTACCGGTACGAGGCTGCCACTTAAGAAACTTTCTTCCCCATCGGTTTAAGATTCTTCGAGCTATAATATGGCCGGCCCACTGCCACTTCAGCTTACTAATCCGTTGGGCTATGTCGGTCACTCTGGTTCTACTGCGGATATACTCATTTCTAAGTTTATCACGCAGAGAAACCCTGAGTATAGCCCTCTCCATAGCTCGCTGAGCGACCTTGAGCTTCCTCATACGGCCAGTAGTGAAGGAACACGTCTCAGATCCGTAAGTCTTGACTGGCAACACGCACTGGTTGTACAATTTCGTTTCAAGGTTTTGAGGTATGTCTGACGAGAAGATGTGTCGTAGTTTCCCGAACGCTGCCCAGCCGAGTTGAATCCGTTCGATTGACCTCTCGGTCGAAGTTGGACTCACCTAGTCAGACTATTTGTCCCAGGTAAACATACTCGTCAACAACTTCGAGCTTAGTGTTCCCAACAACCACCGGCATAGGTGTGACATGGACATTAAACATGATCTTTGTTTTGTCCATGTTCATCCTAAGACCGATTCGTTCGAAAACACTAATGAGGTCATTGAGCATGGTGCTTAGGTCCTCCAGTGATTCTGCCATAAGGACTATATCGTCGGCAAATCGTAGGTGTATCCTTTCCAGTCCAAAAGCTTGAAAACGTCTTCCAATGCAGCGGTGAATAGTTTCGGGGATATAACATCACCCTGTCTTACACATCTCTGCAATTGGATATGTTTCGTACTTTGGTTCTGTACTCGGATAGCCATCGCAGCTCTACTGTACAAACACTTCAGCACTTCGATATACCCACAGTCAACTTGGCACCGCTGAAGGGACTGCAGCACCACCCAAATTTCGACGGAATTAAAGGCTTCCTCATAGTCCACATACGCCAGACATAGTTGCAAATTGTACTCTTCGGACTTCTATACAATTTGCCGAAGGGTATGTATGTGGTCTATGGTGCTAAAACCCTTTCGGAAACCTGCTTGTTCGGGAGGCTGGAAGTCTTCAAGTTTCTCGAAAACAGCACGTAGACGCGGTTCAGAAGGGAAATCGGTCTGTAGTTCTTCAAGAGAGCGTTGTCACCTTTCTTGAAGAACAAGAACATAACGTACTGAGTAGTTGCTTAGTAAACACGTATCTATTTAGCTTCGCCTATAAGTCGTTAATACAAGTGCAAAATCGTCAATATTTGATGTGTGGCAGACACCGTTTTGTGAGTGAACTTATAACCTATTTTATTGTGAAAAATCTTGCATAACAGTTCTAGTATCGTGAAGTAATCTTGTTAAAACTATCTCAACATTACAAAATCTGCGGGTAATTATAAAGTGTCGGTAATTTTTGTACACAAGTAAACAATTTATGTAAACAACAACAACGAGTATGCGTCTTCTCGGGTTATTGTTTTTTTTTAACCGACTAATAAAAAAAAATTTTTCAATTCTTTTAATTGACCTTGTTGGTGGTATCGGACATTATATAAAATTTATTATTAGAAAAGTAAAATTATAGTATAAGTACTATTAACGCCTACCAATTTGCATTCAGCAACTTTGCAGTAAAGTGTATTTTGTTGCAAACCTCAGTGATAAATAATAGTATAATGTCAGCCGACAACAATGATTGGGGATGCTGTGGTGATAACCCTGACACAGAAGAGTACATTAAGTGCCAGAAATGCTCAAAAAAGTTTCATGTGGCCTGTCTCAGCTCTCCCTCCGTAATAAAACCAAGTGAGCTTTCGACATGGGAATGTCCTCTATGTACCAGCCTACGACCCAAAACTGGGCATAACGACAACACGCCGGTGCGATTTAACCCCAATGTCACGGTACGGGCTTCTAAAAGACAGGCACTGCAGTCACCTCCAATAATAGGAGCGTCGGCTGATGAAGTTAGAGGTATCATGCAGGAGTATTGTAAGAGCATTACATCTAAAATCGATTCCCTAGCTATTTCCATTAGTTCTGAAATAAAATCAGTTAAGGAGGAGATGCTGGAAATTAGGAGCTCTATGGATTTCATGAATTCCAAATATGAATTGTTGATCAAAGACCACAAAGAAACTAAACAGGCGATTGTTGATTTCCAAAAAGAAAACAGTGCTCTAAAGACCAATGTTAAGGACCTCACGGCGCGAATTAATACCCTTGAACAGAACGCACGAGCTATGAATGTAGAAATACAGTGCATTCCTGAGAAAAAAAATGAAAACTTAATGCAAGTAGTGACCCAACTGGGTACTGTACTTAAGTGTAATGTTAAAAACGAAGATGTTATCAACTGTACACGTATCGCCAAGATCAACCCTAATAGTACGCGACCAAAATCAATTGTAGCCCAATTCGCCAATAAAAAGATTCGTGATGAGTTTTTAGCAGCATCCATAAATTTCAACCGAAAAAAAGCAATGCAGGATAAGCTTAATAGCTCGCATCTGGGATTCAACGGTGAAAAATCTCCAATATTCATTGTGGATCACTTGTCCCCCATGAATAAATCGCTTCATGCCGCAGCTAGAAAGATTGATAAAGAAAAAGGATACAAACATGTGTGGGTTAGGAACGGGCGTATTTTTATGAGAAAAACTGATAATTCCGACTATACGCTTATCAGAGATATGGACTCGTTAAATTGTATTAAGTAGTTGTAATGATAACGATTATGTTAATTTAATACAAGTTATTGGATAAAAATCTATAAAATTCACTTCTATATCTATATATTATCAAAATGTTCGAGGGTTGCGCACTAAAACCCACATATTTTTACAAAATCTGCTTATTTCAAATTATGATGTTATTGTTCTAACAGAGACCAGGCTGAATAGTAAAATACTTGACTCTGAACTTTTTGGTGAGGGATATGCCGTATACAGAAGGGACAGAGAAATATCCGGCTTTAACGTGAAAAAAGAGGGGGGTGGGGCACTAATTGCAATTTCTAAACGTTTAAATTCGAAGCGTATGCTGAACTGGGAAAGCGAATGTGAGGATGTTTGGGTTGTAATTGATGGTTCTCAGTCACTAGCTCTGTGTGCGGTATATCTGCCACCCCCGGTTCAAACATCAATGCTAAAACATTTTATCGATAACTTTAACCATGTTTCCGAACTATTTAATTCACATGTCTGTGTACTTGGCGACTTTAATTTGCCGACCTTAGACTGGAATTTGGTCGGGAGTCCATCTTATAACTTATCATCATTGCACCAGTATTTTATTGATTTCGTCAATGTAAATAATTTAACACAACATAGCTCTATAACAAACAATATGGATAGATCTCTCGATTTGGTCTTGGCCAATACATCATCCTGCGTGGTTGCTGAGGCCGTAGACATTTTGTGTCCTATTGACCCACTACATCCACCTCTCTCTATAGAACTCTCTCTATTAGAGAGGCCAAAATTACAGTCCAATGCTGTGAGTAGGTTTAACTTTCATAAAGCAGATTACGTTGCTATTAATGACTATTTAGCTGAAGTTGATTGGAAGTCTCTTTTTTATGGGAACAGTGATGTAAATATGAAACTTGAATTATTCTTGGAGGTTGTTAACAAAGTCATTCATAAATTTGTACCAATTGTCAAACCAAAAACTAACAAATATCCTCCCTGGTTCAGTAAGGACTTGATTAGTCGCTTACGAGAGAAAAATAGGGTTAGAATAAGGTACAAAAAATACAGGCACCCCCTGAACAGGATATCATATCGTCTACTGACCGACCGCTGCAAAAAATTAGCTTCTGAATGCTACAACGCATATATTCGTAAAATTGAGGACGGAATTTTAACGAACCCGAAACTGTTCTGGTCTTATATTAAATCCAAACGTGGTGGCTCTGGAACATATCCAGCTACGATGACGGACGGTAATACAGTAATACAAAACGGTAATGACATATGCAACAGCTTTGCATCTTACTTCTTCTCTACTACCTCAAATCTTGGTGTCCCATGTGACATAAATACTGACGAGAACATTTTTAGTACATCAGTGGGGGGAGCAATCGATTGTTTTTCAACTCTAAATCTTTCCCGCAAGCAAATTTACAAAAAATTAGTCAATATTGATGTAACGAAGGGCACTGGGAGTGATAATATTTCACCATTGTTTATTTCACGATGTGCGTCATGCCTGGTGGAGCCTTTATTTATTATCTTTAATAACTCATTAAGTTCTGGGGTTTTTCCCAAAGCTTGGAAGGTTTCTAAAGTGGTGCCAATTTATAAGGCAGGTGATGCTCAGATCATTAGTAACTACAGGCCTATTTCCATATTGTCCTCATTAGCTAAAGTATTCGAGTCTCTAGTCTGCCCTATTCTTCAAGCGTACTTCGACAAGTATTTAAACGACAACCAGCACGGCTTCACAAAAGGTAGGTCTACTAATACTAATTAAGTTACATATGTGGAAGACATTGTAAGTCGCATTGATGGCAATAAACAAGTAGACGCAATATATACAGACTTCAGCAAAGCCTTTGATAGAGTAATCCATCGACGGCTTCTGGCAAAACTATCTGCATACGGAATAGGGGTTCTGTTCTAGCTTGGTTCGAATCGTATCTAAGTGAACGCTCTTTCTATGTAGTCGTTAATGGTTTTAGCTCAGAGCTACGAGATATCACTTCTGGTGTTCCGCAAGGTTCACACCTAGGCCCTATTCTCTTCAATATCTTCGTAAACGATATACCTAATTATATACAATACTCATCCCCTTCGATGTTCGCAGATGACCTAAAAATTTGGAAAATCATTGAAACACAAGATGATGTTTTGCATTTACAAAAAAGATCTTGACGCGCTAGTGAAATGGTGTCAGACGAATGGAATGGAGCTCAATATCAATAAATGTGTTCACATTAAATTCAGTAGGAAATTGAATCCTATTCCATCCATCTACAGCATCAATGGGATTCGATTAGGAGAAAGGGCAGTAGTAAGGGATCTGGGGGTGCTTATGGATAATAAAATGACATTTGTCCCACATATTGACTACATCATAGGCAGGGCGTCCAAGATGTTGGGTTTTATTATCAGGAACGCTAGGGTATTCAAACGCCATTCCTCAAAAATTGCGCTATACAATAGCTTGGTTAGATCGATCCTTGAGTATGGAAGTGTAGTCTGGCGTCCACATTATGCTACTCACACACTTCGTATTGAACGCATTCAAAAACGATTAATAAAACACTTGGTGTCCTCACACTTCTGGCATAAAAGATTTAGCCCCTACAAGGACCTACTAGACTTTCTAAAGATGCAGAGCTTGGACAACCGCAGGGATATACTTGACCTATCCTTCTTTTTCAAGATAATAAGATATCAGTTGCATTGTCCTGCACTCCTGATGAAATTTAACTTTAAAGTTCCATCACGAATGCCTCGTAAGCCCATCGAACCTCTCTCTCGTCCATTTCGCAAAACAGTTTTGGGAGCCAATTCACCGGTTTCCAGAATTTCCCAACTATATAATAAGTGCGGTGGATCAATAGATGTTAATGTTATGTCTCTAGCTAAGTTTAAGGCCACAGTAAACCATACACTATTTAAGTAACTAGGTGTAAGTCATTGTTTCATATACCTACATAATATTATTTTGTTCTATTCTAAGTTTTTGTATTTAAAAAAATGCAAAAACTTATAATGGAGCGGAGCAGGATGATGTTATGTAGGTGTATACATATGCATAATAATATTTTGTTCTGTTCTAAGTTTTTGTATTTTTTTTTTGTTGTTTTTCACTAGGTAACTTTTTAATAACTTGAAGCATGTGGTGTATACCTTTAATTGATTGTACAATTAGTATATAAGTGGATGTGTATTTACTATTTCTGCATTATTGTAACAATCGTTGGTGTACATAAATAAATAAATAAATAAATAAAGACCACCGCACTTCTGCTCCACGCCTCGGGAGTAGTGCCACCGTAGAGGACGGAATCAAAGAGCTTCTGAAGGACTTCAAGTACCGGTCTTCCACCCGCTTTCAGAAGCTCCGCTGTAATTCCATACTCGCCTGGGGCCTTGCCGTTTTTAAGGTGCTGGAGAGCCATTCTAATCTCGCTCAGACTGACGTCCGGGATATCATCGGAATAGTGTCGGATAAGACTCACTCTTGGATCGTTACTCACCCTTGCGTGTGGCTCCAACGAAGTCGTGTAAAGCTGCTCATAGAACCGCTCAATCCCACTCAAAATCTCAGGTGACCCGGAAACGATGCTGCCACACTCGGTCTTAAGCTTCGACATTTGGCTCTTTCTGGCAGACAGATCTCTGGCAAAGACTTTGGAGCTTTGGTTCTGCTCGATCGTTCCTTTAATACAAGCTGTATTGAAGTTGCGTAAGTCCCTCCGCATGCATTTGGAGATCTGTCTGTTCAGTTGCCTGTATGCTGTCAAATCTGTTGAAGAATGTAGCTTCATCTCCCGTCTAACAGCCACGAGATTGAGAGTGTGATCGGAGAGTTTTTGTGTTCTTCTGCGGCGGGTCTTGCAGAACTTAGCTCTGACCGCATGGAAAGTTTCCACGAGCTTATCATTCATATCGTCCACTTCATTGCAGTTTTCTAGGCACTGAAAACAGTTTTGTAACTCGAGCTGAAAGGTTTCGGGAATTTTGAACAGAGCATGAGGGGGGCGGAGCGTTGATTTCATTAGACGAGACCTCTCCAACGTTTAGGTTCAGTGTGCCTCTATCCATTCGATGAGCGCTACCAGTTTTCACCCTCGCGATCACGGAGACATCGCAGGTACGCAACCCTCGTCGACACACTCTCAATCTTTACAACGTTGTTAACTGAGAGACTTGTGGACGATAAATCCGACACCTCCTTGGAACAGATGGTCGCCCTCCCGATGATAGAACAAGTTGCCGGATTCGAGGATTACCGTGTCCTCCCCCTCTCTTCGGACCTCGGATAATCCTATAATATGCCAGCGTAACTTTTCTGTCTCTTCTTCCAGCTCCACGATCTTCTCGTCAGTCCTCAGGGTGCGTGCGTTGTATGTTGCCAGATCGAGTCATCTTAGGTGGCAACCGAACCTCCACTGGAGATTCTTAGCACCCCCTGCCCCGCCGTTACCATGGTCGCCACCGTAGCCAGGAATAGCGGGGCCACCGGGGACTGGGGGCCGTTTATTTGTTACTCTCATCATATTCGCGAGCGGGTTGGCAACCGCAGTTTATTTTATTGTAAGTTTGTTGTTATCAGGAAGATGCTGCTGCCCATCTCCTGCCTGTTTCTCTTTGTTGCCTTTTACGACACCCACGGGAAGATATGGGGTAGTGGATATTCTTAACCGCCAATACACGGCATTGTATATATAAGTGAAAATTTCACTTATTCATAATTTACTCAAGGTATTGTATTCTTAGTTACAACTTCATATAATATATTTATACCTCTTTTAATATATTACTCTCGTAACTTAAATGTTTGCTTTTGTCTGTGTTCGCCATGAAACATTTATTCCAATAGAGTTTTGGCGGCAACTTGACCGGCGGCGGTTTGCTGCTCATGTATTATAGTTGAAATAATAATTTGAAGTGGATTTTGATATGTAAAAGTAGTGCGATTTTATGTATTAACTGTCTACGCATGTGAACTATTAGTGGAAACGGTGAAACAATTGCTCTGATCG